AGGGGTCCCTGGGGAGGGGACAGGACGGGCCCCCGGGAGAAGAAAGGGGGCGCGCTCGCCTCTCCTTCCCCGCAGCCGGGAGTGGGGGCCCCGGCGGTTCCCGGTGTCCTAGAAGTCGGCCACGATTCGGGTCTTTTTCCCGCGAGGCTTTGGGATTTGTTTTTGTCCGTTTGTCACCTGCAGTAGCCGAGGGCTAGTGGGGGGGGGGGCAGTTTTTCAGGAGCGCATCGTTGCGGTGGCAGCGAGTCGATGTTTGAATTTGGGTGTAATTTAAGCCCAGGTGTTCGGGTGCATTTGTTACCACGTTTCAAAGCAAACGCGGCTTCTTCCCTGGGAAGCTACTTTGTGACTGAATTCTTACCCGCCTCGTCCTGTTAAATTTCAGGATGTCAAACTTGGCACCCTGTTTCTGGTTTTCGTTTTTCTTAGTATTACCACAGTGTGCAGAGAAGGCAGAGCTGCGTCTTCCTCTTTTATTTTTCCGTAGGTTACTGCTCAAGTGGTTTGGTTACATGGGTAAGCTTTTTAGTGGTGATTTGTGAGAGATTTTGGTGAACCCATCACCCGAGCAGTACAAACTGCAACCTATTTGTAGTTTTTTATTCTTCGCCCCCTCCCACCCTTTCCTCCAGAGTCCATTGTATCATTCTTAGGCGTCTTCCCGTTTCCTGATGGCTTAACCTGGGAAACCCTCGTCCTCGCAGAGGGTGCCGGTTCCGAGCCCCGGAGTAGGGGCAGCCGCCCGGGATGTTCAGTGATGAGCCCAATTACTCAGGTTTCCGTTCCCCGTTTGCGTTCAGCCAGGATGCGTCATGGCCACGTTGTTTTTAACGTACATGTTTATGAATTATACAGAAACGTTCTTTTCCTGACACACACACATCCTGCCCCCAGTACTCCTCCTAAAAGCCGGTCAGGCAGGTGTCTCCACGCGCAGTCACCTCAGCGCTGGGGTCCACGGGCAGCATCCAGGGAACCCCCGAGATACCTCCCAGCCCCTCCCTGCCTTGCCGCTGCTCTCCACGTTAGCTTTGACTTATTGGGTAGCTCATTTAAAGAACAGCTGTGGGTGCTGGGGTGTGAGATCACTTGAGACCAGCCTGTGCAACA